GGCTCATGAGGTTTATGCATTGGCTCATGATGATGTACTATTGGCTCATGATGATTATGCATTGCCTCATGATGATGTACTATTAGCTCATGGTGTTTATGCATTGGCTCATGGGGTTTATGCATTGTCTCATGATGATGTACTATTGGCTCATGAGGTTTATGCATTGCCTCTTGATGATGTACTATTGGTTCATGAGGATTATGCATTGCCTCATGAGGATGTACTATTGGCTCATGAGGTTTATGCATTGGCTCATGATGATGTACTATTGGCTCATGGGGTTTATGCATTGCCTCATGATGATGTATGGTTGGCTCATGAGGTTTATGCATTGGCTCATGATGATGTACTATTGGCTCATGAGGTTTCACTACTGGATCATGAGGTTTATGCATTGGCTCATGAGGATGTACTATTGGTTCATGAGGTTTATGCATTGCCTCTTGATGATGTTCTATTGGTTCATGAGGTTTATGCATTGCCTCTTGATGATGTTCTATTGGTTCATGAGGTTTATGCACTGCCTCATGATGATGTACTATTGGCTCTTGAGGTTTATGCATTGGCTCATGGGGTTTATGCATTGTCTCATGATGATGTACTATTGGCTCATGAGGTTTCACTACTGGCTCATGAGGTTTATGCATTGGCTCATGATGATGTACTATTGGCTCATGATGATTATGCATTGCCTCATGATGATGTACTATTAGCTCATGGGGTTTATGCATTGGCTCATGGGGTTTATGCATTGTCTCATGATGATGTACTATTGGCTCATGAGGTTTATGCATTGCCTCTTGATTATGTACTATTGGTTCATGAGGATTATGCATTGCCTCATGAGGATGTACTATTGGCTCATGAGGTTTATGCATTGGCTCATGATGATGTACTATTGGCTCATGAGGATTCACTACTGGATCATGAGGTTTATGCATTGGCTCATGAGGATGTTCTATTGGTTCATGAGGTTTATGCATTGCCTCTTGATGATGTTCTATTGATTCATGAGGTTTATGCACTGCCTCATGATGATGTACTATTGGCTTATGAGGTTTATGCATTGCCTCATGAGGATGTACTATTGGCTCATGAGGTTTCACTACTGGATCATGAGGTTTATGCATTGGTTCATGAGGATGTACTATTGGTTTGTGAGGTTTATGCATTGCCTCATGATGATGTACTATTGGTTCATGAGGTTTATGCACTGCCTCATGATGATGTACTATTGGCTCTTGAGGTTTATGCATTGCCTCTTGATGATGCACTATTGGCTCATGAGGTTTATGCATTGCCTCATGAGGATGTACTATTGACTCATGAGGTTTATGCATTGGCTCATGATGATGTACTATTGGCTCATGAGGTTTCACTACTGGATCATGAGGTTTATGCATTGGCTCATGAGGATGTACTACTGGTTCATGAGGTTTATGCATTTCCTCTTGATGATGTACTATTGGTTCATGAGGTTTATGCATTGCCTCATGAGGATGTACTATTGGTTCATGAGGTTTATGCATTGCCTCATGAGATTTCACTACTGGATCATGAGGTTTATGCATTGCCCCATGATTATGTACTATTGGCTCATAAGGTTTATGCATTGCCTCATGGTGATGTACTGTTGGCTCATGGGGTTTCACTATTGATCCATGAGTTTTATGCATTGGCTCATGAGTTTTCACTATTGGCTCAAGAGGTTTCTCTGGCTCACGAGGTTTATGCATTGCCTCATGAGGACTCACTATTGGCGTGTGAGTATTTACTATTGGCCCATGAGGATTGACTATTGGATCACGAGGTTTATGCATTGCCTCATGTGAATTCACTATTGGCTCATGAGGTTTAAGCATTGGCTCATGAGGATTCGCTATCGGCTTGTGAGTATTCACTATTGGATCATGAGGTTTATGCATTGACTCATGATGATGTACTACTGGCCCATGAGAATTCACTATTGGCTCATGAGGATTCACTAATGGTTCATGAGGTTTATGCGTTGGCTCATGAGGTTTAACTATTGGTTCATGAAGATTCACTATTGGCTCATGAGTGTTATGCCCTGGCTCATGAAGTTTCACTATTGGCTCATGATGTTTATGCATTGGCTCATGGGAATTCACCATTGTCTCAAGTGGTTTATGCATTGGCTCATGAGGAATTACTATTAGCTCATGAGGGTTATGCATTGACTCATGAGGTTTCACTATTGGCTCATGAGGATTCACGATTGTCTCAAATGGTTTATGCATTGGCTCATGAGATTCTGGTATTGGCTCATGATGTTTATGAATTGGCTCATGAAGTTTTACTATTGGAGATTTCTGTTTTGGTTCATGATTTATTTTTATTGATTCATGTGATTTTTGTATTGGTTCATGAGATTCTGGTATTGACTTATGAACATGATATTTATTCATTGGCTTATGAAATCCCGATATTGGTTTGACAGGCTCTGGAATTGAGTTTGGCCCAACAAACTCTTCTTCAGTTACTTCATGCTTCCCAGGAATCTTCTCTTTCCTCCCAGAAATCTCCTCACCCTTCCCAGTATCCTCCACTGGGTGTGGTGTAGGTAATGCTTGGGTGCAATCATTCAGATAATCACAAAGTTGGTATGTACACACAAACACACACGCATACCCCATGTTGTGTTTTATAAACAGCTATTGAACACCAAGCAGACTATCCAAAAATAACAACCTGTACATTCATCATAAGACTTTCACGCTATATTCAATCACAATTATCTCAATCTAGAGCGATCACAGACCACAAACTCCTCTGTGGTCTCTACTACACTACTCATTTTTAACCACAGGTTAGGAAAAGGTCACTATTGGCTCATGAGGTTTATGCATTGCCTCATGAGGATGTACTATTGACTCATGAGGTTTATGCATTGGCTCATGATGATGTACTATTGGCTCATGAGGTTTCACTACTGGATCATGAGGTTTATGCATTGGCTCATGAGGATGTACTACTGGTTCATGAGGTTTATGCATTTCCTCTTGATGATGTACTATTGGTTCATGAGGTTTATGCATTGCCTCATGAGGATGTACTATTGGTTCATGAGGTTTATGCATTGCCTCATGAGATTTCACTACTGGATCATGAGGTTTATGCATTGCCCCATGATTATGTACTATTGGCTCATAAGGTTTATGCATTGCCTCATGGTGATGTACTGTTGGCTCATGGGGTTTCACTATTGATCCATGAGTTTTATGCATTGGCTCATGAGTTTTCACTATTGGCTCAAGAGGTTTCTCTGGCTCACGAGGTTTATGCATTGCCTCATGAGGACTCACTATTGGCGTGTGAGTATTTACTATTGGCCCATGAGGATTGACTATTGGATCACGAGGTTTATGCATTGCCTCATGTGAATTCACTATTGGCTCATGAGGTTTAAGCATTGGCTCATGAGGATTCGCTATCGGCTTGTGAGTATTCACTATTGGATCATGAGGTTTATGCATTGACTCATGATGATGTACTACTGGCCCATGAGAATTCACTATTGGCTCATGAGGATTCACTAATGGTTCATGAGGTTTATGCGTTGGCTCATGAGGTTTAACTATTGGTTCATGAAGATTCACTATTGGCTCATGAGTGTTATGCCCTGGCTCATGAAGTTTCACTATTGGCTCATGATGTTTATGCATTGGCTCATGGGAATTCACCATTGTCTCAAGTGGTTTATGCATTGGCTCATGAGGAATTACTATTAGCTCATGAGGGTTATGCATTGACTCATGAGGTTTCACTATTGGCTCATGAGGATTCACGATTGTCTCAAATGGTTTATGCATTGGCTCATGAGATTCTGGTATTGGCTCATGATGTTTATGAATTGGCTCATGAAGTTTTACTATTGGAGATTTCTGTTTTGGTTCATGATTTATTTTTATTGATTCATGTGATTTTTGTATTGGTTCATGAGATTCTGGTATTGACTTATGAACATGATATTTATTCATTGGCTTATGAAATCCCGATATTGGTTTGACAGGCTCTGGAATTGAGTTTGGCCCAACAAACTCTTCTTCAGTTACTTCATGCTTCCCAGGAATCTTCTCTTTCCTCCCAGAAATCTCCTCACCCTTCCCAGTATCCTCCACTGGGTGTGGTGTAGGTAATGCTTGGGTGCAATCATTCAGATAATCACAAAGTTGGTATGTACACACAAACACACACGCATACCCCATGTTGTGTTTTATAAACAGCTATTGAACACCAAGCAGACTATCCAAAAATAACAACCTGTACATTCATCATAAGACTTTCACGCTATATTCAATCACAATTATCTCAATCTAGAGCGATCACAGACCACAAACTCCTCTGTGGTCTCTACTACACTACTCATTTTTAACCACAGGTTAGGAAAAGGTCACCAAAACCACATCTACCACAATACTAGATATCTTACAAACTCTTAATGGCCTAACAATACCTTCGATGAACTGTTTCTTAATTTCTCTGTGGTGTGTCCTCTCTTTTTCAACAGGAATCATGTGTTGTCCTGGATGCTTGGGTTGATGATTATGTCTGTGAGGGTCTGTAGTTTATCAAAAAGAAGGAAATGTCATTTAAAAAATCTTATGTCATGTCAGAATGACATAACACCAATAAGAACCAACAAGAAGTCACATCTCAATGAAATAATCTAAATCACATATTTCCTACTTCCTTTTTACCGTATAAAAGGGTCCCAAAATATTTTTCATTTATTTTAATAATTTTTAAAAATATTTTGATATTTTATATAGTGCTGTTAAATCGATTAACCGCGATTAATTGCATCCAAAATGCAACTTGAAAACTTGAAAGGTTTGTGTTTCCATAATGTGTGTGTGTACTGTATGTATATATACTGTGTGTGTATATATATATATATATATATATATATATA